ACACCTGTAATACTTTCAATGATAAAGATAATTTTTTTCTTTTTTCTTTTTCATTTTTTTATGAACAACCCCAGATGCCAGTTCCAAGGAAGAGCCTCTGCCTCTGCATCCCACCAAGAGGACATGTCTCTGTCACCTTCCTCATGGGGTGAGGAGTTGGGATGGGGAAGTATTCCACCTACTTGCCTTTATGTCACTGCACACCCAGAAGTGGGGTGGGGTTGGCTGGGGAGGTTCCCAGGGTATTCCACTGAAAGGAGGAAATGACCAGGCTCCTCAGCCCAACCCCTCCTCAGCAGAGAAGGAGAGGAATAGCCTTCAGCAGGGAGGGGGAAGGAGAAGACCTGACCAGGCCACAGCCTGAAAATAGATCCCAGGCTCCTGCCTTGCAGGGAGGAGGATCTCTGAGTTTTAGTCAAATTTGTTAAAGATAAATTTTTTGAAAAAGAAATCTGTTCTGTGCAAGTATTATAAGCAGCTCAATTTCTACTAAAATGGACTGACTGCAGCACTTTAAGGGCACTGCTGGGGTTCTGTGTTGCTGGATCACAAGATCTGAGAGTACAGCCTGGCCGGGCGTGGCTCAGCGGTTGAGTGTCTACCTGGGATCCAGGCGATAGGGGTTCGATTCCCGGTCAGGGCACATGCCTGGTTGCGGGCTCGATCAATGACTCTCTCATCATTGATGTTTCTATATCTCTCTCCCTCTCCCTTCTTCTCTCTGAAATCAATAAAGATATATTAAAAAAAAAAGATCTGAGAGTACAGACTGCTTGGGAAGCACAGCCATTTTTATCACCATCCTCTTGAATATTACATGCAGAGGAAACTCTACAAGTGAGAGACAATCAGCAATAACCAAATAAAAGGTGAGCCACAATTACAACTAGTTCTAAATCACAGTGGGTATAAATTCCACCTGTAAGAGAAATACAGGTTCTGGGACTAGTTGGAGACCTCTGAGAAGCTGAGCATACAGGCAAGTAGAGGGACGGACATTAGCATGAACTACTTAAATTCCTAAAGTTTCCAATGGCGAAGATTATTTTTAAAAATGAAGTGCCATGGTATTTGGGGAATGTTTAATAACAAATATAGGGTGGGGCAAAAGTAGGTTTACAGTTGTTTGTACGGGAAAAAATACAATAATTAATAAATAACAATACAAGAATAAACTCTGTGTTTCACATACTCATAACTGGAAACCTACTTCTGCCCCATCCTGTATGGAAATGGCTTAGTTAAATGGGCCCTTCTGTGGATGAGGAAATAAAAACAAGAGATTCCAGAGACTAACTCTGTTTCACATTTTTATAACTCGTGTGGAAGAAAGAGGGCACAGAAATATCTCCACTTGCAATAACAATCATTCATTCAGGTAATTAAATTGCTAGCCCAATGACAACTCTAGGGGAAGTTCAAAATTCCACACAACTGAATGGAAAAGCAGTAGATGAACATTCCGGGAAGCAAATATGTTTATGGAAAAAGTAAATGGTTCTTTATAAACTGACAGGTTCTAAGCTCTCAGTTCTAAGTGCTTGCAGAATCTTAATGAAGAAAAATGAACTAGATGATAAGATCATCAGGAAGGATACTCTAAACCATCAGGCACAAGAAAAGTCCCTCAAAGCCAGTTTCCTCTGCTCCTCCTCTCAAACAACAATAAAAAAATGACAAACCCCTACTCTGTCATCCTTGCCTCTGCGAAACCACAATGCACTGTTGTCACCTGGAACACAAGTTCTTGCTATCTCATGTCAAGGAAGCTACAGGAGACTTATATAAGCCCCAAGAAGGACAATTTAAAAAAGTAAAGCACGGGAAACGCTTCTTTTTGAAAGCCAAGTACCAAAAGATCTCAGGCTACAAAAAGATATGTCTGCACTCCACAGATAAGATCAAATGACCTCAGAAATATAAAAACTAAGAGACAGCCCTGAAGGGTTACATGGGGTAAAATCAAGGCAAATTTTAAAGGGCAACGTTGCAACAGGGGTGTTAAACAACTTCTTATTCCAAGAGATGGTGCCAAAAACATGATTAGGTACAGGAAGAGCTTACATAAATCCAGAGTGGCTTTGGGGAAATCAGGGAGGGCCTGTAAACTAGAACTAATTTTGTAAGCTGATCCAGAAGACAATGAACTACTTCACAACTTGATTTGGGCTGGTATTTATCACAGACAAGCCAGTGGAATCCTTCCTGTGGGATGTAAGCAGCACAGGACTGAGCAGGGGTCAGTGTGGATGCAGGCTGATCCTACAATGGGCAGGGCCTCCTTCCCAGCTGCACTTGCAGACTTGGATTTCCATTCAAGTGCTACCCACAGAAAAAGTGGGAACTTGCTCTGTCACCACACCCCTCCTCAAAACCTGCATTCCCACCAGAAGGGTTCACACTCCCGTATCTTTAAGCTCAGGCTGCTTCTAGAACCTGGAATTCCCTGTCATAGTCTCAATTTCTCGTGCCTTGCTGATTCCTATTCATTTTTCAAGGCTGTACACAAGGTCATCTTCCCTGAGAAATGTTTCAAAGGCAACAGAGCACTCCAAGAGGTGTGGGTGTGAACATCACAGGCTTTCTCAACAGACTACCTGGTTCCAAACCCTAGTTCTATTCATGACTATGTAATTGCCTTGCTGTGTGACTCTGGCCAAATTTAAATTGAAATATAATTGATATATAACATCAGGTAAGTTTAAGGTGTATAGTGTGTTGATTTCATACATTTATATATTGCAGTATAATTACCATTGCAGTGTTAGCTAACACCTCTATCAACTCAATAATTATTTAATTTTTGTGGTGAGAACAATGAAGATCTAGTCTTTTAGCTACTTTGTAGTTTATAATACAGCATTGTTGATATTCACTATGCTGTGCATTAGAGCTCCAGATGTTATTCATCTTTTAGTTACAAGTTTGTACCCTTAAACATCTCCTCAATTCCCCCAGCCCCTGGCACCCACCATTCTACTCTGTTCTTATGAGTTACATGAGAGATTTTTAAACATTTTATTAACATTATTAATGGAAAAGCCCCTTCAAGAATAAGTACCACTGCCCTAGCCAGTTTGGCTCAGTGGTTAGAGCGTCGGCTTGCAGACTGAAGGGTCCCGGGTTCGATTCTGGCCAAGGGTACGTACCTCGGTTGTAGGCTCAATCCCCAGCCCCCAGGCAGTGCATGAGTGGGAGACCTCACATAGATTTTTCTCTTTCTCTCTTTTTCTTTCTTTCTTTCTCTTTCTCTCTCCCTCCCTCCCTC